TATATGATTTTTTAAAAAGTCTTCAGCAGAGGTGCCAACACTTTTGCTGTCAAACTGTAACAAGCTAATTGAAGATAACAAGAAAATAGAGACGTATGCTTATCAAATGGCTCATTAAAAAGTAGAGGAAAAGCATCAAATATTGATGAGGTATTTAGAGGCTTTCATCTCCATCTTCCATGGGGCTTTAAAATATGGGCAGCAAACCTCACCAGAGTAGACTGGATGCTTTAATTACAAATGAATAAATGTGACACAGTGGTTCAAATAGAAACCCCCCCATCACATTTCACACAGTGACTACTGCTATTCAGAGCAATTAGTATCTACCAGAAAACTCAGTGTAACTCCCTGTTATATAGGTCAGACTTTCAAGTCCTAACAATACCTGAATAGCTCAACACCTTCACTCACATCAAAATCCATCTCTGCTCCTAGTGTGCCTCAAAATATCGTTTTTTCTTTTTACTTCTCCAGGTTTACGGGTCAGAGAGGCTCGTCTCCAAGACCCCTGCTTGCAAAAGTCAGGTGCAGGATAGAAACAAAGCTACTTTCCTGGAGTCATCACTCCCCTGCTCATGACCTTTGTGCTGACAGCTGTAGGCAGCGCAGATTCCTCTGTGTTTTGATTTAGAAGAAGCGAAGCATGAAAGAGACTGGAATGTCCTGTCCTCCTGACCTGAGCAGCACCTGCTGGGCCTGACACCAACTCAGGCTGGAATATTCCCTTCATACTCAAACAGCAAGAAACTGAAAGCAAAAAATTTTACTTGGTATTCTCTACATTGTATAGTCATTATTTAATTATATTTTTCTGTTTCAGTTTAGGATAATTTGGTACCCAAAGTTGAAAAAAAATTAAACGACTTGTGCAACATGATGACAGTAGGAGCAAAACTACAGATGAATCCATCTGTTACTCCATTTCTTCTACGAATATAACATTTATTATACAACTGATTCGTTTGTTTAGATAAGACATGGAGAAGGGATCAGGCAGTAATGATAACAAAAGGTCATCTTGCATAAATCCCAATTTCATCACACCACTCTGTGTCAAACATGAATAACTGAGTGTGAGTAAGATAATATGAAATGTTAAATTAATTGACTATGAAATGACAGCTTTAGATTCACTTTCTAACAATGTTATCCATGGCAATATGCAAATGTGTGCCTCGACGTGTGTGCATGCTTCACTCTTCCTTTTGATGATAGCATTGAACTCTGGAATAAATGGAGGACTAAAGCTTATTACAACCTAGAAACAGGATGCAGTGCAGATTGTTGCACCATGCCAGTAGCTGCTGGGATGCTGACCTATAATGTCACAGCAATAGAAGATGGATGGATCAAACACAGCAATGCACTCACTTCAGTATTGTCACAGTCAACCTTTTCATTTACAGCTGTTGTCACCCAGCAGTAAACGATGGAATTAAATTTCAGGACCAAATATTATGAAAGCAATAAAAGCCAGTAGAATAAAATCATATCCTGATGTTTACCAGCAAACCATGGGACTGTCTCCGACTGGTAGCTGAGCATAAAGTAGAGTATGCTTGAAAAGTGGAATGGTTTTCTTTAATGTTTTTTTTTTTTTTTTTTGCAAATACATTTTTTTGAAATGGAGTGCATCTCAATTTGCTGCACCTGCAAGTCGTTTGGGGCATGTCTCCATTAGCTCTGCACATCTACAGACAGACGTTTTTGTTGGTCCTTCTTTGCCAGTTCAGTCAGATAGAGATCAACTGAGATAAACAGTTTTCAAATGTCATCTGAACAGAGCTCCTTCTTTGACTGCAGCAACGCCATCACTCATACTCCTTCCTAAAGCGCTCTGTAAGTCCCTCAGTTAAGGTGTTTAGCCATTGGTTAGCAGTTTTGCAGTTGTGTCAGATTCTTTCCATTTTATAAAGATGTTCGACTTTATCTCTAAGCTGTCTGCTGTGCTCCTTGGGTTTTAAGTTTTTCTAACAAACCCTCTGAGGCCTTCATAGGACACATGTATTTACACTGAGATTTAATAACACACAGGTGGACTAATTTCTTATTCTGTGATTTCTGAAGGTTATTTGTTTGGCTGGATTTTATTCAACAGATTAAATGAGGCTGAAAACAAAACTAAAACAGTGTTAGATACTTTGTTTAAAACATAAAATTGAAAACCACGCGTCATATTCCGTATGCACAACCGTTGTGTTGCTCTGTCGCAGCATTATTAAAATTTGTGGTTGAAATGTCAAATTATCAAAAACTTTAAAAAGTATATGCAGTTTAGCTAAGCACTGCATTACTTCCTTCTTTTTGGCTTTATAATAAGAAGCAAAGTAAAAACCATCAGATCAAATCAGCTCCTTAGTGCTTACAAGGTGTGCATAAGCTTGTTAATGATGCAGGTGTGTGGAAACATGGAATAAACTAAAACATGCAGAACATTAGGACCTGAACGCTGGGGATACGGATCGCTGTGCAACAATAAATTCTGCAGCAGAAGCTAATGAACAGAAATCAGTTCAATACTTCAGATAATGTTTGAACTCATGTCAACATCTTGGGTGTTTTGAGTGTTTTCAGAAAAACAGCAAGTAAGAAAAAAAGATCTATATTTGACTGTTACATTACGGGACTGGAACAGAGCGGCAGCATGTGTTTGCATGTTTGTTACAGAAGTGGGCCAGGAGAAACAACCCACAACGGGCCCCCTCAGCTGTGTCGGCAAACAGGAAACTGGAGTTCAGTCTCAGTTTCACGTAGCTCCATCTGTTTCTTCTGCTCCCTCAGATCAACCTGAGCCCCCACGGTTCAGCATTCACCTTCTCTTTGCTTCACACCAAACAGCAAAAAAAAAAAATCATTTCAACCTTTTTCTTGCAGCCCTCCCTTTCTTCTGCTCCCAGGGTGGGCCTCTCTGCCAGACCAGACAGGAGATGGAAGCAGTTACATTATTAAGATGCTTCAGGTGCTGCTGAAAATCTCCAGAGGATGGATGCATGTTTATTCATCCCCCACACTTTCCTCATTGTCCTAATTAGCTCCCAGTCTGCCCTAAATTACTATCACCAACCATCCATATTTTTAAGCTGCTAGTCCAAAATATAATTCATCTTCAAGAAATTTGCTTTTCCTCAAGGTTTAATGATTTTCTAAATATTGTTAATGCTGTGTTAACTGTAAAAACCAGGCTGTAGCTAACGATTACGATTATTTGACAATTAATCAAGTGATCGGACAGAAGAAATTATTGATTTAATCACTTAAACGTTTTAGTACAATACTAAAAACACAAAAAAGTAAAAATAATTCAATTACATTTTTTTAAATAAGACAAGTGGTTTCTTTAAAAGTCCAGCTCTCCTCTTTCTGCAACTGACTTGTTTTTATTTGTTGATTAACTGGTAAGTAATTAGACAGTAAAAATATTTTATTTTTTTTAAGTAATTTGAAACAGGTGAATCTAAAACTGTGCCAGATGAGGAATTCTGGCATAGGTTTTTTTGTGCAATTTCAGCTTAATTACCGTTTTGATGGTGTCCTTCTTACATCAAACTATACTCCGGTTAATTATTCGCTTACTAAGCTAGTTAATTATTTCAATGATTGAGTCCTGAAATTTTATCACATTAATTGTTTCAGCCCTTGTAACAAAATTTCAGGTTTCTGAAGTAGCTTATGTAACTTCATAAAATAATCTGTGGAAGAAATGCTGCAATTATTCCTGCATTGTAAGTTTCTTATTCGACCGTATCATACCAACTACACCTGACAGAAAAAAAAAATCCATTTAGCTCCAGTTTTACCCTAATAAGTGGATGCACAATAATTGGGGCAAATTTAATGACAAGTGAAACTGCATCAATACGAGAAATAATTGGAGTATTTCACTGGTCGTTTGGTCTCATTTTGGCTCTCACAAACATTCACACATGCTTCAGCATTACATAATATCTATAGGGCTTTGTCTTGAGAATGAGACTTTGTACCCAAGTAAGATTACATAAATAAATACAAAATTAATTAGTGTCAATACAAAATTCAATTTTTTCTTTTTAAATATGGTCAATTATTAAAACCATTAATCATTTCCTTCCTCTCTCTAACATAAAAACTACTCTAATATTACGTCATGGCATGTTGTGTTTCTCTAAGCCTTGTTTTTCAACAGTTCTTTACTGGAGAGGCCTTTCTTTGCTTAAAAGTTGTAGTATAATAAAGGCATAAATTAGATTTCTCCCAGTTTTAACCACTGTAACAAACACTTGTGTGAACAGTATAAAATTACAACATTCTCCGCTAATGTTGTTGTATTAATGCCTTGCTGTTAACAACTGCCTGAAGGTCTAATCGGATTTTTCTCCCCCATCCCCGTCTGTCCTGAAACAGAGTCCGGCTCCAAACATGCTTGCTCAGCCCAATAAAAGGATTTTCTTCTCTTTTTTTTTTTTACAAACACTGGCCTGAGGAGACAAGCACTGTCTCCTCAACGTCTTCTACGGCAATTCCCTTTATGCATTTGTATTGTTTGTTATTTGATTTATTTTTCTTTTATTCTGAGATTTTTTTCTCACCTCCATTCTCCTAGGTAAGACTGTGGAGCCAAGAGGGAGACCTGAGGAGGAGCTGCATCATCCCTACGCTCCTTATTAGTGTTGCATGGGCACCTGGCTTCCACATTCAGCTCAGGTAGTTCAGACCACCTGGCTCCAGATATTTTCATTTTCAACTTAAAATATTTCACCTTAATTCAGCTGCATGCTTTTTATTCTCACACAGCAGAGATAAGAGATCAAACAGAGGCTCTCTGGGATTTTAAAGCACCTCTGTCTAAGGAGACAAAAAGAACATTTCTTATCCTTAAAATAAGTTTGCTTCTTATTTACAAAGATCTCAAAGCAAACATAGCAGACTAAGTTTTTTATGTGTAAAAACAACTACATTTTGCTCTTAAGTGTAACAAAGCAGGCTTATGAAACTAACTGAAGTCAAATTCAAACACTTACCTTTGGTTATCTGTTCTGTGGTCTGTAACAAAAGAGAAAACATGAATGAAAATGTGACCTACAATGCCAAAATACAAATGTTTCAAAGAATCGGATTTATGCAAAGCAGAAAGGCAAGAGTGACATTTACTGTCATGTTCACTTTAAGTGTGATAGGAGCCTAGAGACGACAGGAAAGAGAAAAATAGAAAAACATCCAGAACGCCACGTGACCATATTCCAAAATATTTAATTTTTTTATGTTTAATTAACATTTCATTCAAACATAATTATGTGCTTCTTTAAAAAAAAGTTAGCAAATTATAAAGAGTTTATCCTTCGTTTATCAAAAGAAAAGCAACCCTCTTGATGCAAGAGCTTTGTAAAAGCAATATAAAAAAAGTAATAGAAAATATGAGAGGGTGAACACTTTTTATAGGCATCATAGTAACACATGAGGGAAAATGTCTGTATATTACACTATACTTAAAATGCAACTATTACAAGTTATGTAGCCGTAATGAATACACCTGTGTGAACCCAAGACACTGTGTCACAAGAGATGTGATACAAAACTTAAATATCTTTTTTCCCCAAAAAAGATATTTAAGTTTCATAATCAAACTACATTTTACAATAAAAAAATATATATATTTAATTAAATCTAATTAATTCAAATCACCATAAATGAGTTTTGTGGAGAAATATTTAATGAGTTACTCACTCTATCTGAATATGGCTGATAAGGCAGTGGAGCTAAAATGGTCTGACCCTGCATTAAACCGAGGTCTCACTGTGGCTTATCAAATAAGCTTTTATTAAACAATAAGAAGAAACAATTAAAGCTTGAACACATGAAGAGATTTTATGTTAGCACTGTTATTAAAACTTGTGCGCCACAACAGCAAGCTTTTCAGTCTGGGTTATTCAGGCTTTTGATGGAGGAGTGTGCATGCTTGCAGCTCTCTCTGTGCACAGCGTGCTAAGTTGTATGGTGACTCTAAACTGACCTTAGGAGAGAAGCTGCGTGCATGCATGGATGTTTTCTAAAACCCTGCAATGGCCTGGCGATCTGTCGAGGTTATACCCTGCCTTTCACCAGATGGGATAAGCCTCAGCTTCACTGAACGAGATTAAGTGAGCAGGGAAAAAAAAGCTGATGAATGAATAAATGAGGGGAAGAGACACAATTCAAAACAGAACTTTGGACTGAACGCCTACCTTTTTTTGTGCAGCTTCTTTCTTTTTCTTCTCTTCTTGTTTTTTCTTTTTCTTATCTTCCATCAAATGTTTTTCTTCTTGTGTTTTGCTTCTTTTCACAGCTAAAATATGTAAAGACAAGAAAGGACAAAACTTAATCTGAACCACCTGCTGTGTTGATAAGTTCTTCACAAGACACCAGAAAATACCAGGGGAGTGTGTAACTTCTTACATTTTACTTGATGGAATAAACACATTTAATGCAAATTTCACTACCTCTAGTAATTAAGAAAATGTCAGAAATTGATGACAGTCAACGACACAAGCACAGCTTGAGACAGTTGTGCTTTTACAACCAGGAAAGAGCCTCTGAGCTATTTTTGTGAGCTCGAAAATTCAGCAGTTCAAACGGGCTCTTGTTGCGAATGGCTGATGGAAGTTGTGGGTGGGCACCATTTCAAAAGGGACACATCACACCGGTCAACCCACAGCTGACTGTCTCAACAAACACCAAGCCTGACAACCACACACACTGGGTGAGAAGTTAACCTGCTCTGTACTGGCTGCAGGTTCAGCCAGTGAGGACTTTAACTTGCACAGTTGTGCAGACAGAAAAAAAAAAAAAAACTGGGGAAAAAAGCATCCACACCTCTGCCCAGAGACATAAATGACATGTTAAGTGCAGCCTTGTCAATGAAACAGAAACAGTTGCACAGATGTCAGATTTTGAGCTGCAAATTTAATTAGGTGATTGCACTGTTGCTCCTCAGTGTGTTGAGTTCACTTAGCGACATTGTCCTTTTCTGTTCTCCAAGGTAAAATCGGAAGGCTTAGTTTTAATGCACCACTGGAGTTGACTTTTCTCTCTTTTTTTTAAAGCAATTTTATGTAAACTGTTCACATAAAATTTTACTTTTGTTTTTTTAGGACTGATAGTGGAAAGCGCTGCAGCCGACACCAGTGCTCCTAATCTTTAATTTACATTCATTCTGAGAAATCCTCAGAAACAACTTTTGAGGTTATTGACATTAGTCAACCTTGCTGCTTGTACTGAAAATGACCTCAATAAGCAGCTCTAAAAATGAAAGTGCTACACTGTTGAGTCACACTGAACGACATCCAGAGCTTCAAGTCATTTCCAGTCCAGAGTCTATATTGCAAAATGGAAAAGTAAGAATTTTTTATACATATTTTCAACATATAATTTAAATAGACAAAATAAAATGTTGGGTTTTTTTCTATCTCTAACCCTACAATGTGACATTGTTGAAGAAACCAGTCTCTTCTACTGCAGGCGATGGTGACGTATGCCACTGCCTGGCAACAGGCCTGCGCTCCCAGAGGTCCCAGTGAGCAGTCAGGTGGAGACAGACTGCGCCCTTCAGCGTGGCGCTGAAGTCAGTTTCATCCAATCGTGCAAGTGGGCAAAGTAAAGCAGATTCAGCTGTTTTACTTAAGTTTAGTTTTGTGGGAACAAAACTAAACTTAAGTTTAGTTTTGTGTATACATATACATACAAAACTGTATGTATATGTATTACTACAAAAACTAACAATTATTCAGCTTCCAGATCAGACTTTCCAGCAAATAATTTAGTATCCCTTTAGGGTAAATCCCTTTAGGGTAAATTAAGTATTTTTGAATTTGAAATATTGACTAATTCTGGGAAAACATTTGCTTAAATGAAATCAACATCTAACAAATTTTGTTGCGATATTGATAAAGGAGATATCGCATAAAACATCTTATCTTAATCTTTAATTAACGCTAAAATAAAAGCAGAAAATGGTTAACCAAGGTGGAAAAATTTAATTTCATATCCATGTATTTTTGCTGCTTAGTGGGAGCAAAACATATAAAGCGCTGAAGTGGCAACCAAACAACAGGTATGGTGTTCAAACTGAAATGATGGAGGGTTTAGATAAATTTGCCCCTCACCAAATTATACATGGTGCATTTTGATCCCAATCTTCCTCCATTTCACACGTGCAAACAAAATATTTTGCCCTATTAGTTGGAATGTTTTCCTCATCTACAATTGCAGCCAATAATATGGAAATGTCTCCCATGCTGAACTCTGATCAGGTGGCTGTGGATAAGCTTTTATTTACCACTCAGTTTTTTTTTTTTTTTGCAATCCAAATAAGTGAAGAGATACAGAAGCAAAACAGAGAACAACCTGACAGGTAGTTTAGCAGTATCAAACAAAATGAGAAAAAAAATAACCAGCTGTTTTGATGTAAAAAAAAAAACAAATGTAAAAAAAAAAGTTAAAATCAAGATGAAAAGTTTATGTACCAATAAATGCTTCAAAATGACTTGAAGGCACAGGTACTTTTGGTGGTATTAACAACATGTTATTCCAAAAGCTGCGTTGTAAATTTTGTTGCCACTTATGCAGAAGAGAGCTGCTACTCATACCCGTCAACAGTTTTTTTTTTCAAAGCTGCAACAGGCTGATTTAAAACCTACAGCTGCAATACTAAATATAGCTGCTGTTGTATCAGTGAGGCTTTTATCATGTAGGCAATAAGTGAGATGCTCCAGTTAATGTGAGCTGCTGTCCTCCGCTGACCTGGGAGGACAGTCAAAATGGGTACAGTGAAAGAAACTTTTGCTCCTGAAGCAAGGCCGAAAGATAAAATAATTAAATCATGAACATGTGCATCAATGGGATATCAATCAATATATTTTAAAAAGACACGTACGGTTTTACCACTTTTGTTTTGAATTCTGCAGCTTTTTGATGAACATAACCACACTCAAATGGCCATTAAATTAACTTTACAGTATATTTTGATTGAGAGAGTTTCAGAAATATTAGTTTTTTGAAAATAATTCTTTTAAATGTTGATTAAAAAGACAAACATCTGTCGTAACAACTCAATATGACTTACGCAAAAAGAGAAACAAGACCATGGATTTGAACTCATATGTAGCAGCAGACTGATAGACTATGCATTATGAAGTTTTAATGTGGAAGCGAATTTAAAGGTCAAAAGCCGGTGAACTGAGATCTATTGTGGAATTACACTCTCCTGTCATATCATTGGGATTACAGCTGGGTGTCCCCCTTAAACCAGACACTCACTGTGATGACAAAGGACAGACACAAACAGGACGGGAACAACAACAGAGGAGAGATCAAGGTGAGTCAATTACAGCCAAGCAGAAAATTGCTTCAAAAAAATATATATTACGTGGAAACGGAGAGTAAAACGTGTGAACAAGTAAATGCCTTGCTGCTGCGCACTTGAGCAATAAAGATGAGGGGGTTGACCGACAATGAAGCTGGTTAGTGTGGACGTGAGAGAGAGGTGGAGGGGAGGCAGACCATAGACGACAGCAGCTGGGCACAGAGCCAGAAATGCCATTGCATGCCCTGCCAACGACGACGGCAACAGCCGCTGCAGCTTTTGGAGATCATGCGAAGTGTCGTCCTCTGCTCGCCTGCACTTTTTGGGACAGGAAAGCTCTTTCGACTTTCGGGTTTTTGCATGTAAAACCTCAGACACATAATGAAAAAGGGCAAATGTGTCGCACGTGCCTTTATGTTGCATAAAGGTTTAGAAGAAGGAAAAAAAAGAAAAGAAAAACTGCACGGTAAGCACTGACAAAGTCCCAGGGCTCTGCAAAGAGGATTGCACTCTATAAACCACTTGGAGCTATTCTCAGAGTGGTCATCATAATGCGTTCTAACTCAGCCTAATGGCGTACAAAAGGTGAAATGTAGGCATCACTATCACCTGTTCTGTGAAAATGCACTTAAATAACTTGCACTACAAAAACTTAACCTCAAAGCAGCTGAAGAAAATACAACATTAGAAGACAACTAAGCCGTACAATGAACGACAGCTATAAACATAATCGTTGAAAACACCTCGAAAAATATTGCACCAAAGTCACAAACGCTTATTTCTTTTCAATGAGTAAAGATAGCCAGTAACAGAGCAGTAGCACCGCACTGCTGTTGGTGGTTAGTAAAAGAAAAAGTTCTGGTTTCAATGATTTTCTGGCTGAGTTTCATATTCTTGCATTTGTGGAATTTATCCAATGAATCCAATTTTGTCTCACAGTCAAAAACCATTCATGTTAGTTCAACTGTTAGCTGCAAAATTGTTGCTTGTATTGATCAGAGCTTCTACTGAATTTCAAGTTAGTAATTCTTTACATTGACAGATTTCATATATTTGGCCGTTTATTGTGTCTCACTGCAAATAAATTACAATGTATTTACAATGAGTGCTTGGATTGCGACAGTCTTAAATCGTTTGGATCTATTAAAATCAAAACTGGATTACCGGACATAGATAATGGACTGTTGTGGAGCATTTTCATACAACCTTCAGGGTTGCAAAGTTTGCGTTTTCTTCTACAACTGCTGAGTTTGGCAAGTAAAATAAGGTTGCAATTTAGAACAGAGGTTCAATCTGGACCTAAACCAGTCACGTTTTGGATTCATATTGCTCCAAAATTTCTGAACATGGACATTATTAAAGAACTAAATGTAGATTTTTGGGATGTGAAGTTTCACACTTAAACATGGATGGAAACATTTAGGCAGCGAGAGAAAATCAATTCTTAAAACACAGATCTAGCCAGATCTAGAGAATATCAAAATAAAATGTCATGCTTTTCCAGACTAAGTAAAAGAATGTCCAGTGATATTCTTCATGTAAAAGAACTTGCAAATCACTGATTTGATGTCTAATATGTACACACACAAAAAAAAACGAATCCCTGTTTGTACTAGTAGTGACACAAGCACTGAAAATAGCAATAAATAAATTTGCCTTTTTGGCAAATCAATGAGTAAAAACTACAAATAGCATCTGCATATTTCTTCAAGCTTTAAACTTGGCTTCTCATTTTGTTCAATGCAAGATCATCATTTTCAGACAGATTTCTGGATATTGAGAACCAGCCAAACCAAATGACACAGTCCAACCAAATATCCCTCAGTTATTCAAGCAAAAGGACATCAAGGGTTTCAAACTGAAAGTTCTGCTATGACCTAATCTGTATTATAATCACAGCATTTAGCGGTCTGGTTTTGTTATCAACCCCCTCAGCCCCTTCCTTTTCATGGCTCTCTGTGAATAGACACTGCCTCTTTCATAGGCTTTGGTTCCTGAGTGGGGCCCCCTAACCCAGCAGTGAGAAAAATAACCTGGGTGACCCCATCTTAAACCACCACCTCCTCAAGACCAAATTTAGGCTCCATGACACATTAGTAAAACCGGCAGGAATCAAAGCTTACGCTAATTTGCTCTCTTCATGCGTCAGCACTGACATCCCCCAGCAGGTATGTCACAATCAGCGAGTCTGCAGCTGCCATTTTTTGCTCCAGTTGCTTGATTGATGATTATGCTATTGGCTGCATCGGCCCCTAAATTGTGGCTTGTAGTTCCCAGAATTCCTATTAATAGAAACCATACCCAGAATATCATTAACTGTCTATTTGTTTAATAGACAAATGTTCTTATTTACTTATTTTGACCAGGCAAATAATTTGACTGACATGAAGAATTTATTTTTTTTTTAAATCAACCAAATAGTCTTCATTTTATACAGTGACATTTATTCCAAAATTATTTTTGATTTGATACATGTACATATGGTTAATTCTCATACTGTGTCCATTTCATTAGACAGCTGGCTTAAATAGATATATAATGAATGGGAATCTGGTGCAATATGATATTAATGTAAAATCTTAGAAAATACATAATTTTTAACCACCATCTCAAAATTTATAAAAACAATAGATAAGCATAATAGATAAATATTTAATCATTAAATATTAAACTGTTATTTAATGTTTAAGCACATAAACTAACAACTACTTCACTTACATTTTTAATTGATTTAGTCCAGGGTGGAGTTACTCAGTGACCCTCCTCTCCCATTTGCTTGGCACTAATCAGCAGGCTAGAATAAAAAGAGCAGTGCTCCTGACCTTTGCCAACAACAACAACAACAAAATCTAATTTACCTGTATAGAAAATCCATTAATATCAAGTTATCATTGCAGAGAACCTGACTAATCAACAGGCTACAAGTTTGTTAGACTTTAGTTCTTCTCGAACAACACGAGTGTCAAAATCCAGTCCTCAAAAACCAGTAACAGTTTGACGTGTCCCACATTAAACACACCTGAATCAAATGACTATTACCTCCTAACACTTCTATTGAGTCCTGCTAATGATCTGATTACATGACTCAGTCTGCAGACACAGAGAGTCATTAGTAAAAGTTGCAGAGCACCGAGAGGACAGGAGTTTGACACCTGTGCTCTGCAATGCACAGATCTCAATAGCTGATCATATTCTGCACAATAATCACATATACTTACAAGATAACTAACTTGATGGGTGGTGAACTGGGGTTTATTATTCAACACTTTGCAGAATTAAGGATAAATAACCATATTTTTTTATTTTACTGACTTCTGTAAACCAAGACAAATACCACAAAGTATATATAAAGCGTCTTTTGAAATGTGCCTGGTATATGTTTTGTTCCACCATGCACAATGGGAACTGGAATTTGTTTGCATCCCTTTTTTTTGTGCATAAAGCCAAGCTGCAGGACATGCGGCGTTACAAGATTTCAGAGGCACCATTTCTCAGGGATTACACAGAAACCCAACGCTGACACTGACGAGACAAAGAACCAACAGCAGATTTCAAACAAAACGCAAAAATGAGACGCTCGGGTTGCAATGCACTGACGAAACAAGAAACATCGGATTCTGGTTCTCTCCCTGCAGTTAAAACTGAGCTGGAAGCAATCAATTTACAAACTGTGGAGTGATGCATGAAGCCCAGGTTCTCGGTGAACGAGACCGGTGGAGGTATGTGGACATGAACCCTGGAGACAAACCGGGGCTAAACGGGTTTAAATCCAATCACGTGACGCACAAAGCACATTTTGTGCGAATGAGCGGCGACAGTCACGTCCATGTCGGGTCTCCCGCAAAGCAACGCAGCGGCGGGTGTCCCGCCGACGTCTTGCAGCCCAGCAGCGGCAACACCGTCGCCCTCCGTTTTGCCCCAGCGCGGGGAGAGGAGGGGGTGGGGGGTGGAGGCAGAAGCTGGTTCGGCTCGTACGCAGGACGAAAATCGACTTTCGAAACTGAGCAGCCGCGCGCAAACGCAAACAAACACCGACGATATCGACAAAAGTTGGTAAAAGCCGAGGACCCGGCGCAAAGACAACAGTGATGTCACGGTGGGCTGAGCCGGAGATATTTCCATAAACACTCCGTCCAAAACGATACGCGTCAAAGTCCTGCATGTCTTTGCGCACTCGGAACGCCGTCAAAAAAAAAAAAAAAATGCGAGAGGGGGTTTGCTTTCTCGCAGCGCAGAAACAAAAACTAAAAGGTGCGTAAAAATCCTACCTTGAAGCGCTCAGTTGGTTCTCATCGGCGGCGGAGCGTCTGCAGCCATTTTGTAGTAACTAACCGGAGCAGGGAGACGGTTGAATCCGTGGTAACTGGGGAAGGTGGGCGGGGCTTCGGGGTGCCACGTGACCTTCAATAACAAAACAAACTGGTCTCGTTTCACCGCGCTCCTCCTCCTCCTCCTCCTCTTCCTCCGGGGTTTCCATGACAACTGCAGCTCCTTCATCACCGAGCCTGCAGCCGCCGCTCTGCATCTTGCATCAGCCTTCCCACTTTATCACCAGAGAGGAAAGTAGGCAAGAGTAAAAGTCGAAAAGTGACGTGTTCACTAGATATAAAAACATATAGGATTGTTTCAGCCGCGTTTGCAGTTTGTACAGCATAAGGAATGTGTATATTTGCTGTCGTGCCAACAGAGGGCACAATTGAAGTTGTGCTGCAAGCCCAATGTGTAGTAGCATCTTACTCATCCATTGAGTGTTGCTCTCATGGCGTCCATCTAGCAGGGTTTAGGCTACTACATTAAAGAGAAATTAGTTTCGGGAGGTTAATTCCACATGAGCTGAGTGTTGCTGTTGCAGATTACAAGATGCAGAGAAGCTTCATGTATTAAACCCAGTGAAGTCGTTTTTTTTTTCTCACACATTCTTGTGCATGGTGTTTTAGTTGGAAAGTGGGGAAGAATCACATGAAGGTTGTTTTTACAATCAAATGTTTGTCAACCACATATTAATTGACAATCATGTCAATTAATAACATAGAAAATAAATTATGTTTGAATTTCATTTTTTTCAAATTTCATCCAAATGTCAGATTCAGACAGAGTAGTTATGAAGCAGCTTTTTCTTAGACAGATCCTTCACAATCATAATAATAAAAAATATATATATATTTGGTACATTCAGTCAGTAATTACTGTGTCATAGCATTAGGGATTCCTTTGGTTTGTTTGAGCGTGAGAAACGTCGCAATGTGGAAAATGAAGTAATCTTATGACCAATTGGTAACTTAGCACAAAATCATGTTTTCCAGTTTATTTTTGCTAAATAAACTTTACATGCAAAAAATCATATTAGACAGCTATAAAACATTGAAGTGTTTCTCAAGTAGATTACGGAGATTTATTTAATGCAAAATAATTCTAGCAAAAATCGGTTTTACGAAATGCTGACTCAAAGTTGCTGAATACAAATGTCTGCCACCATTTTTAGGTTTTTAATGGCGTGAACAACTCATTCAACTTATGTATAAACATATAAATAGGTTTTATGTTTTACTATGGCAAATGTCCCGACTTTTCAACATATTTTAACTTGATGCTGTGTTCATGAAACCCTGTGTGGATGAAGTAAACAATAAAACAATGTGGGCATTTTCCTTCGTCTCTCCAACCATGAAAAAAACACACATTCATGCAGTTACAATGATTATGATGAGTATTTGTGTAAACACAAGCTTTATTTCATCTTCATATACAGAAAAATAAAATAAACACTCATCGAATGTAATCAATAAATAATGACCGTTTCACAATTTCTTTATTTTATGTTCCTCTGCTAATAAATTTAGACTTGCTTTCGGTGCAATAGAAAAATCAAATAATTATTTATGACTCATTTTTGTTTCCAAACCACATGGTTCTACTGAGGTCCAGTATCCTTAGTTGAACTGAGAACAGACACATCTCAAATGAACCTTTTTCTAATTGGCGGAATCTAATCATGAACGCCCACAAGAACCTATCACTGAATCTGTTTACAACGCAGACTGATCGCCGCCATGTGCTTGCAGTTACTGAACCATCTGTTGCTGGTGTCACGGGCATATAGAGCTTGTAGAGTTGTCCACATCTGTTTGATCGCAAAACTATGCATCACGGCGATGGTGGTACATTCAGTCAGTAATTACTGTGTCATAGCATTAGGGATTCCTTTGGTTTGTTTGAGCGTGAGAAACGTCGCAATGTGGAAAATGAAGCTAAGACAGGTATGGTAAATCCCGAGCCAAAATGTTTTATTTACAAATTTGCTACAAGAGCAGCATCTTTAGGTTTTTTCACTGGTCAATATCATAGTATCTATATTAAATCTAGTCTTTTTGTATCTTGGATCTGCCAGACGTCCTTAATGTCCAGCCTGCATTTCACGCCTCCCTCCATACATCATGGCTGTCTGTTTGTAACCATCCCGCTGCTGTGGAGAATTTCAATTAATTAAACCTGTTACTCATGTAATATATCTAATTGATCCAGTTACATGTATTACATAGACTTAGAGCAGACCCTGCGACACCAACATGGCTGAATCTTGTGATGCATTCGATAGAGTTTGCAGGTTTGTGTTTTGCAAAGAGATTTGGGGAAAACCAAATAGTAATCACTGTTTTACCGTAAATGTAAAAATGTATATTTTAAAGCTCATAGCTTTTTAAAATAATAAAATCTGAATGCTATTATATGCTTTTTTTCAAACTGTTGTCCGTTGTAATATAAAGAGGTGGTATTATGTACTTTTCTAGCACTTAGTGTCATCTTTTATTCGTTACAAAACTACTGTATATCACACATAGCTTAAACAGCATTTGACCTTGCAGTTTTATGGCTTGAAGTAGGCCTCTGTCTCTTTAAGAAGCCCCTATTCTACAATGCTCCCCCATTATGCCATTTATAATTGACCTTAGGAGCATTGAACTGAGACGTAGTTTGTTTAATGAGCTCAGCAAACATGTAGTTTCATGAGGCGTTTGCTGATCGCGGCTGCAGCTAACAGAAATCCTGTTCATTCAAATAAGGAAAAGAGGTAATCCATGCTCTTTTTTTAAATCACTGTTTTACATATTTGCATTTTTTAAGGTTTTTTTTGGCTTAATTCATTGTCATTTCCCAGCCCATCCTCTCGATTACATTTAGCCTAATGCTTTTAATCATTAGGATAATCAGACTCGCCTGTTTTGCATCCAGTAAAGAACTTCAGTAGTATTTAGCTCCCTATCTTCAGTCACTCTTTGTTAAATCCTTCCCATTATGCCCCTCTCGTATCCAAGATATCATGTACCATTTCTAGTTTTTTGTGCTATGCCTGAGTTCATTTGTTTGTTTTTTTCAGTTCTTTGCTCTTTGTTGTTGTCAGTCTTTTGGTTTTACTTTCCTGAATTCAACAAAACCAGGTTCCTGCCTTTGTCTTTCCTGTGTTTGTAACTCCCCAAGAATAACCATTCATGATAACATCAGGGTGGTGCTGTCCAAAATCTAGTGAGTGTGTCCCAATGAAACACATTCAATAATTTCAATAAAAAATCTCAATGACAAATTTTATATTATTTACTAATATATTTTTCCATTTGACCATATTGTGAGCCTTCTGGTCAATGGTGTTTTCTTTTATATAGCAAATAAGATAAGAGCGAACAATTAATTTGAGGAATATGTTATCACACAGATTGTAATTGAAAGAGATGAGTGGCTGTGTGTTGCTGATAATCAGAGAAAAGATGTGTTGGTTTGGCATCCCCTCCCCTCCTACCGCCAGCGCTGCTCAGAGTGCACTGAAGATGCCCTGCTAATCAGATTTACTGCATGCATATGTGTAATTGTGTGCCAATCTAGACTTAGATAATTAAATTAAACAATTAAGATACGATGGAACTCTAAATTGGCTTGTCAACATTTTTTTTCTTCCTCTTTCTTTCTGTCTTTATCTAGGTTGGTGAGTTGTGCGTATATCAACAAACACACACACACACACACACACGCACACACACACACACACACACACATACACACACCCCCACACACCCACACCCACACACATACACACACACACACCCCACACCCACACACACACACACACACACACACACACACACACACACACACACACACATACACACACCCCCACACACCCACACACATACACACACACACACACCACACACACACCCACACACACACACACACACACACACACACACACACACACACACACACACACACACACACACACACACACACACACACACACACAGAAGAAAGCAAGGGGATGTAGTGATATGTTAAGGAAGCTTTCCAGTTCAAAGTCGCAGCATCCCCTCTTCTCACAGTGTCTACCAAGGTCACAGCACTGCTGTTTTATGTGTCTGTATGCGGAGGAGAGGGCTGGGTTAGAATAGTGAGCAAGTGCAGCTTCACCAGCAGCTATAATTGTCTCCATTTTCATTTGGGATTAAGTCCTCAGGGCAGAGAAATCAATCTGTTTTGATATAATGAATCTTTTCTAGGCAGCAAACTGTCACCTGGGCAAACAATGACCACGATCGATATTTGTCTGCTGCTCATGATAATGTATATAGAAAAAAAAAATGTGAAAAGGGGAAAACAAGCACGGACACAGGAGGATGGGCGTATAACTCCTCTCAAACAAGAGAAAAAGGCATTAAAATCTGATCATTTACAGGAAAACATTCACTTTAAAGTTCAGTGTGCATTTGTATTCACCCCTGTCTTTACCTTTATTTTACCTTTATTACCTGCAACCAATTGCCTGTAGAATTGGTTGTAAATAGAGCTGCCTGGCTTAAATTTCATCTCAGTATCGTAGCACTGTGAAGGCCTCAGAGGTTTGTTGGCAAATATTTGCAAACAATTAGTGATTTATTCAATGTTTCAGTTATAACAACAGCTAATCTACCAAAACATGAACATCCATCAAAAACTGAGTGTGAACTGAGTTCATGATATAAACAGCCTGGAGGCCCAGAGTAACTCTGGAGAACTCTGGAAAGTTTCTTAATGTTTTAGAATGACTCAGTCAAAGTCCAGCTCTGGACCTGAAAATTTATGTTTACATCCTCGTATTCAACCCAACCAAGCCTGAGCAATCTGGCTCATTCTCCTAGGAATGAGCCAGTCAGATTCCAATGAATTTCAGCCTCTGGATGTGCAAAGCTGGAAGAGGCGTGCCCCAATAAGTAATTGCAGCATAAAGTAAACTTTGGAAGTTTTGACTCAAGCTTGCTGAGCAGAAGTGTACACCACAAGTTTTAGATTTGTACTTAGAAATTTTTTTTAAATCCATATATTGTTTTCCTTCCAGTTTTT